GGGGGGGGGGGGCAACCCCACCGCTTTTCGCTCCCACCGAACTTTATGACATTGACTAGGCGGCCGCGGCGTCGACTTTTGGGCGCGGCGCGCGCGCGGATGTACGTCTCATAATGATGCTTTTGTTTTATTTTACTCCCAAGGCAAACACAGCTTTTGTCGCACTGAGTGTAACGAAGTTTGCACAAGAGTCTCTGTGCTAAGTAAAGCAGAGCCTTGCGCCTGATGCAAATTGACTCGTCAAAAGCGGACCCGTCTGTCGGAGTATTGGCCTCGCCGGGCGGGGCTAGTGGGCCAGTCGTCTCTCATCCGCCCGCTCATCGAATTCAACACGCGGGGCACCGTGATTGGGTACAGCGAGTGGCTGCTTCTGCCCCCCACCCCCCTCGGCCTACCCTGTTAAAATCTAATTCTTCATTTCTCTGGGAGGCACACCCAAAAATGCAATAAGAACTTCAATCAAGTGCATACTCCAATAACACGTTTCTTGCGGCTCATTTATTGTTTTGGTGCCTATGATTTAATATGAGAGCAAGACGAAATGGAGCTCACACTGCAAGGTGACTTTTGTTAAAAAAAAAAGAAAAAGAAAAAAGAACTCAATTTTCAATCAAATTTCTGCTTTTCTGGGTGTATCGCATCGCGTCTGTCGGGCATGCCACGTGACACAACAAGCATAAGTGATGAGTGGAAAGTGCCCTCCCTTCTTTTACACTTCCCCCCCCCCCCCAAAAAGGGGGAAAAAACCCTGTGAGCGGCTGAAGAATGCGCGCGCCAGTCGTGCGTTGCGCTGCCGCAGTCTGCTGCGCCGCCACGCCCCACCGAGGCTCTGGCTCCGGACCCGTGATTTAATCTTATAGTCGTAATTTAATCTTCCCGTCTCGGAAGGGAAGGGTACAAAGAGGGCGACAGAGATAAAGGCGGCAGAATATTAAAGGACGGCTGCGCACGGGTCGCGGCCCCGCCCGGCCTCCGCCCCGCCCGGGGTGTCGTGTCGCCCTGCTCCCCTCGGGGCCACCAGGTGCACGCCAAACTCACCTGCTCCACCCACATGTTGGTCGTCATGATCTGGTTCTTCAGATTCTGCAACAGAAAACGGAGGAAAGAAAGTCGTTACAAAGTGGCTGTCCAACAAAAGGAGAAAGTAAAGTAAAAAAAACTGAGAGTTTTGGGACCAAATCCATTGCACTTGATCCTTGATTCTTCAAGTCCATATGTCTTGACTCAAATGGTACACTGATAAACTAAGTGTTCAACTGCTCAACACTTCTAAGTGTGCAACTGTATGTTAGATACTTGCAAGTGTGCAACTGCAAGTTAAATACTTGCAAGTGTGCAACTCCTCGGTTGAACACTTCCTACACAGTAAGCGTCCAATCTAAGGAAGTGTGCAACCGAGGAGTTACACAGTAAGCGTCCAATCTAAGGAAGTGTGCAACCGAGGAGTTGCACACTTGCAAGTATTTAACTTGCAGTTGCACACTTGCAAGTATTCAACTTGCAGTTCCACACTTACAAGTGTTGAGCAGTTGAACACTTAGTTTATCAGTGTATGTACTCGAAAAATCAATGAACAAGTAGTTCAATGAACTTGGTCCAAGAGCTTAGTTTTCTGGGTGCGGTGAACGACTGAAAGGGTGCACGCATCGTGATGGGTTGTATGCATGTTGTGTGTGCATCTGCAGGTGACAGCGGGAGGTGCTTGGCAACAAGCCGACCGGCACGCGCCGCGGTACACGTGTATCCGATCCAGTCGACACGTGGATGGATGTGGCGGATGGGACTGGGACGGGCGAGAGGTCCACGGGTCGCGTTACGAGTCAGCCGGACGCGCTTAGCTCGGCTCAGTAATCACTACTTGCTGTCACACGCAGACGGGTAGCAAGTGAAAATGCATATAAAGTCGAGGGGTCAACCACTCAAATTTTAGGTGTACATGGACTATCTAAAATATTTAGTGGAATATTTATGGAATATATCTGGAATACTTTTGCAATAATTGGAAGACTTTTGAAATATCTGGACTTGGAATAATTGGAAATTTTTCGTGGAATATCGGAAGAATTTCAGTGGAATATCGGAAGAATTTCAGTGGAATATCTGGAATACTTTTGGAGTATCTGGAATATTCTTGGAATATCTTGAATATTTTTTCAGTGTGTACATGGAAATACCCAAGTAGTCTACCCCTCGATCAGCGTCTTCCTGCATTGATTCCCTGTAAAGCTCGCGCAGCGTGAGAACGCGCCTCCGAGCCCGGCAGCTGAGCGAGTCCGAGCCGCCGGGAAGGTGGACCTTTAATCCGGCTTAAGTTGAACTCTTACTCCATCCGTCCCGCACGCTGCAAATAAGGAGCAAGGGAGCGGTAGTAGCGGAGCAAGCAAAGGCAAAAAGAAAAAAAAGGTAGGGGGGGGGCAGCGTCCACCCTACTGGTCGCGTAAACAGGGAGATGGTGAAGAGGGAGTGTTGAAGAGAAAGGGGGGTGGGTGCAGAGAAGGGGTGGAGCAGCAGCGCCAGCACGGGGAGAGAGGTGAAGGAGCGAGGTAAGCAGGAGGCCGCACCTCAATCACGTCTCGGCAAATATTGCGACAACTGTTTGCTTTTCATTAGCGGCAGAAACAATGGCCTCTCCTCTAGACGGACACGGCGACAGCAGCAGGCACTGCTGCTGCCGCTGCTGCTGCAGAGGGGGGCCCAGCGCGTCCAACCCGCCACCGCCGCGGCGCTTGTTTGTCTCTGCAGTGGCCCAGCCCCAGAACAACACGCAGCAGCGCCGCGCTGAAAGGTTTCCTGTCGGTCAACAGTTTCGATGAGGGTTGACAAGTCCGCCGCCTTGCTCCGCGCGCCCCGGCGGCGGCTTGCCTGTCTCTATCCCTGCCGCACGGCTTGCTCGCCGAGGTTTCGCCACGACTTCGTCGTCATCGATTTATGTGGCTCTCGGGTTTCAACAAGCCCCGCCAAAGCCAAAGCCATCTCTGGCAGCAGCACCGGCGGCCGGGCTCCTCTTTGCAGCCAAACTCGTCCGCATTATATACTTAAAGCAGGGGGCTGCTCGACGGGGATTCACAACGCACACGACAGGCAGCGCAGGCCCAGTTGACAGCAAAAAAATATTACAAATCTCCAAGAAATCTCTTCTGTCCTTGTCTTTCTCTTCTGCTTTTCCTTTTTGTCAACCCCTCTGCGGCGCAACACTCTCACGGCGTACACATCTCCCGGGGGAGAGCGAACAGGTGCCTCTCCTCGACAAGGCTACAGTCTTGCCAGCAACAAAGGGGAAAGAAGGGGGGGGGGCAAAGGAAAACTGTACATTTATAATCAAAAGAGATATGTAGGTAGATGTAAATCTGTGAACATGCATGAATAAGCTTAAGTAAAATCTTAGGCTAGTAAACGGATCAAAAGCTGTGGAACGGCTATAGCTATAGAATCTTGGAATCTGAAACTCGTTAATAAAGTACCTGCAGGTGACATGTATGTACTGTATATTACTGACGAGATGTCTATCTCAACAATTACGTTTGGAGTTTGGAATTCTACTCAAAAAAGTTCGTTACGCGTGTGTGGTTGGTGTTTGTATACAGGTTAAAATGTTTACACTCTTCCAGTTCATACATAAATTCAAGTTAGTGGTAGAACAAATTATTCGTTTTCAGAATGGCAGTCAGGGAACACATTGGATGCACTCACCACTTCTATGAGCTGCGACAGCCTCAAGCCCATGCGCACGGTGAGCCGGTCCGAGTTGTTGCCGACCGGTCGGATGAGCCTGTTGTAGTTGCTGAGCAGGTCGTCGTAGAGCCTCTTGGCGTCGGAGTTGGCGGCGCCGCGGCCAACGCACAGCATCACAGCAACCAGCAGCGCCGCCAGCAGCCAACCCATCTTAGGCCTGGTCCACCCCTGCAACACACCACACAACGTTTAAACCAGCAGAAGGGGCCGCAAAAACTCTCACTTTTGGTACACATGATTGCAGGAATACATGGATTGCGGTAGGATTTTCACACGATTGGGGTGGATTTTCGCAGGATTGCACGCGCGCGGATTGCAAGTAGGGTTGATGACTGCAAAAGTTGTGCCAACCCCTTTGGTCTCTTTCCACCCCCCACAGGAGAAAGAAACACAGAAATGGATCATAGAATTATTCACAGCTGCAGTAGGGAAGAGAGAAATGGGGGAGGAATAAGGCTGGAGGGGTGGTTGATCGTCGTGACTAAGTACACCATGGAGACCATTTAAACTGCCCCCCACCCCCACCCCCCATTCACTCTCCGGCCCGGCCGCCGGGGTAGTTTCGACTCCGCCCGAAGGCAATGGGAACAGCGAACTTTCGCTGGCAATAGAACAGATGGAGACGCAGTGCGACGCGCCCCGCCATTGCAGAACGTCACCGCAGCGTGCGCGAGCGGCGGGGGGCGGCGGTGCCGGCGGGGCAGCGAGGAGGGTGCAGGGCGGGGGGCGGCTAGACGAGGATACGGGAGCGGCTGGTATCAATAACTTGATGTCTCAAAGACGAGCAATGGAGAGAAAAGGCCACTCATCACAGAAAGTTGGATATATGTGTAGTAGAAAGGGAATCAGGCGAAAAAAACAGAATGAAGAAAAAAACGAAGACTCTCTTGGAAATCATGAAAATCCGTGGTTTTGTAGAGGAGAGTAAACGCAAAGCCATACAGCAGCCTTAACAAAGGCGCTTTGGTAATGAACCACCTGCAGCGGCGTAAATAATAAAACCCCCGCGGCTTACCACTCGCGCGCGGGCGACACGGGCGTCATTGGACGAGAGGCCGGCTTGGCGTAGCGGCGGGAACGTTTGACGGGGCGGGGAGAGGTGGCCGGGAGGCCGGGTCTATGGGCACCACGAGCACCACCACCCTCACGCCTCCACCGCAGGGGGGCCCGCCGCTGGGCTGGGCTTTTGTTCGAGAGTCGTAAAATAAGGGGAGGGAGCACGAGTCGAGTGGTTATGGCAAAACCTCACATTTATAACAGTGTGGGACCACGGAATCACGGACGCAGCCTGTGTCCACGCACTCATTTATGACGGAGGGTCTTGTATGGAAGTTCTGTAGCGTGGACCCTTGTTAAACTTGCAGAAAATATCGTGGTTAAAATTGATGTTTTCCTTTCTCTGCATTGGCCGGTTAGAGATAAGGTTTACAAGCACAGTTGTAGCTTCCCGACCAAGAAGTACATACTACAGAGGGGTTTCAACGATACAATCATGTATTCTGGTTGAAACTGCGCATGACTGCGTGTTTAGGTTCTAACGTCACGACGAGCAGTGTATACGAGCGCAAGGCGCAAGCTCGTCTCGTGTCGGTCGCGTTGCAGGTCGCCCTCTCTGCAGTGGCCTGCAGCGAGGCCTGCAGCGAGACGCGTTCGTCTCTGATGGCCCACGGCGATCATCGGCCAGCAGCGGCAGCCAACGTGGAAACGGGCCAACACCGCCCCGGGCGACACCACGCCGCGCCCCAAGTCGGGAGGCAGCCTTCCAATCGGTCGATACGAACGTCAGAAAAATAAAACGCGCAATACCCTCTCTAGCTGCGGCTGTCGCCTGGCAGCGCCGCCCCGGGGGCCTGGACCCGGACGTGGCCCGTCGCGGCGGGTGCGGCCGCCCGAGCCAAAGGTTAAAATGCAAGATAATTGGCCCGGGCGCACTTCTCAAGAAGAAAATTGTGAAAGAGGAATTGACGATAAAAGAAATCAAAGGCCCAAGTATCTTGAAAGTCAATGTGGTTACACTTAAAACTTAGTGGTCGCATTTTATAAATGCCAATTTTTGTCGTCCATCAATGCGACAGGTTGGCATTCATCACTCGGGCATTCCTCTCAAAAATTGAAATTGAAGTTAGCCTATTTGAATGCAAAAAGTTGGCGTTTGTTGCCGCTTTGTATGCCAAAATCTGTCGTGCAAAATAACAAAAGTTTGGTATTTTTGAAAGGTACACCAAATTCATTCAGAACAGAGCACCGAAATACTGGCAAACGGGAATTTACAGTGCAAGTAGGTGGTCTCAATATGAAGGCACTGAGAAACAAAGAAGTTCAGTAGCGAAGTACATCGAACCCCTTTGGATTGGGGAAGGTCGATTCAATAATTATTTCCCCCCGACATCAGGCTCGGCTGAGATTTAGGGGCGACTTCATCGAAATAGTAGACGCCGTCCATCTCCTACAGCTCCCCGTCTCGCAACGCCCGCCCCGCCTAGCAGCCTCGACATGTTCCAAGCAGGCTGATAGGCCCTGATCGATCGAAATACTTTTTGTCGCCCGGTGACTTTGAACGAGCGAAACTTGGGTACTTTACAAGGCATCGCCGCGGGAGGGTGGCAAGGTGGGAGGCACGCGGCTCCGTGAACACAGCCTGGGAGCAGTTAGGGCTGGGCGGGGCGGGACGCCGTATGAGCATCTTGTGTTGTAGTGCCGCATGTTTCGGCGCGATCACCACTTTACTAGACAACTAAATCCAAGAGTTGCCAGATTTTTTTCCCCCTGGAGTATTGAGAGAATAATTATCTTCTCACTTTAGCTGCGGGTAGGCCTGAATAAAAATTTGAAAGTTGTATTTTCCTAAAGATGAAGTAATTTCACGTGATTTCTATACTAATATCTTTTGGCAGCGATGGGAATGTTTAAAAAATCTTATTTATGATTATATATCTTTGCACTTTCTACGGCGAGTGCTGTCTGTCACAGCCCAAAACAGGGACTCTTTCTGGCCACGAACTGCTTTAAGAGTTAACAAAATTGTGAATAGTTCGTCTCTTTACCCAAACCCGCCCCCCCCCTCCTCGGACTTAAAGTCTACTTAGGTCCAACCGTGACAAAACCTCCGTGCCCCGTCCATAACAGATCGCGTGACACCGAGCAGTCACGAGGTCTGATGCACACACAAGTGCCTGGTATTTGTAGCTGCTCTAAAAGTGTGACCCCGAGCGGAAGATATTGTGAGTTATAAGACACACTTGTTCGAAGGATGAACACAGAGAAATAAACGAGAAGGCGAAAGTGTGCGAGGTAAAGAAGAAGAAGAGAAAAGGGTGAGCGTCTCAAAAAAAGAGAGAAAGGGAAAGGTCTGTAAAACGAATGGGACTGCCACTGTATGGCATGAACGTGGGAGAAGATGAGGTAAGTGTGAAAAACGGGCTCGGAGAGAAAAACCCAGGTGGGGAAAAATACATGGAAAAGAGATGAAAAGAAAAGCGCCTCTCGCGGAAGACGGAGAGGGTAGGGTAGGATGGTGGTAAAGAGGAAATGAAAGTGTGAGGCAAAACGTAGAAGAAAGGTGTGTGTACGAAAGCTCGAGAAACACAGAACAAGGCGGACACACAGAGAGACGAACTGACAGAAAGAAAGAAAGGGGCAAGGGGGGGAAGAGGATGGCTAGATGACCCTTCAAGCACCTGGGAGAGGTACGTACCTCGCCCCTTTACGCTCTCCACCACTCTGTCTCTCTCCTTCCTCTCTCGCTCCCTCACTCACTGCTTCGCGTTCCCTGCTGCAGCATGCTGCCTCCCTGACGCTCGCACACACCCACACACACATTGCTTCTCACACTCCACGACGAGTGGTTCGTCAGAATGATGCCTTTCAACCCACTGAGAGCGGAGAGCGTTTCGCACTGTCCAACTTTGTGGCGCCCCCAGCCTCCCGCACACACACACTCACTCGCACAGCGCCCTTCTCTCGCTGGCATAACTGCACTCATCATCTTCTGCAGCTTGTTCGCCCAACCCTGAAACGGCGCGCGTCAATCCGAATAGAGAGAGGGGAGCCGGAGGGGGATTCAAGAGAGAGATAGAGAGAGAGAGAGAGAGAGAGAGGGAGAGAGAGAGAGAGAGAGAGTGAAGGGGGCAGAGCGTTTTATGCGCGCAAAAATGGCAAGCCTCCCGCTGTAATTACGGGATCATTTTTATAGAGCGGGGCGGCGTGGCGGAGGATGAGCGGCGGGGCGGGGCTGAGCTGAGCTGAGGGCGTCCAGAGGGCGCGGCGCGGCGCGGTGGGGCGGGGCGAAGCGCGAGACATCACACTTAAGGGGCCGGGCCCGCGGCGTCCGCCCGTCAACGGCGGCGCCCCGGCTACGTGCCAAGCCGAGCCGCGCGCCCGGGCTGCGACACAGCAGTGTACGCGAGCCTGGCGTCGCGAGTCTCGCGTGTCGCTGCACTGGATCCTCCTCAGGCGCTACCAATATCCCCCCGAGCCCCTAAACTTGCCACACGGCGCGCCCTCCCCTCCACGACCCTCCCGCCCTCCTCCACCCCCTCTCTCCTCAGTTCCTTTTTCCCCGGGCCCTCACCCCGAGAGCGTCCCTGCAGCCAATTGTGAAATTCCTAGAGGCAGGGAGCCGCTGTTGCTACTACTGCCGCGCGCCCCCGCGGCGCGGAGAGCCTTTTGGGATCGGCAATAAAAGACGTGATGGCGAGACCTGACGCGGCGGCGGCGGCTTGAGTAGACACAGATATGAAAGGCGGAGGTATTAAAATGAAACGTTTTGGCAAGGCGGTGTTTGAGCTCCCCGCCTGGCATCTGTGCCCGTCCCTCCGGTGAGTTCAGGAAGGGAGCCTTTTCCACCGTCTTTGTTATATCTGAGCCGATTGATGCCGCTACATTCACCTCGGAAAGACTCCCTTGGCAGGTTTAGAGTAGAGAAAATGTGGGGCGTAAGAGAGGGGGCGCAGACTGTAGAGGGTAAAAAGAATAGATCCATGGAGTTTGCGGTCTCTATGCCCAAACCTAATGCCCAAACTTTGGTGACTAAAAAAAGAAAAAAAAAGCCAGGGAGTGACACTGAAGGAGCATGGGGGGAATTTCTGGTAGTATACACGAAAGACTACTGGGCGAGGGAGATGCAATCCCACGTGACGGTATTTTGTCGAAATACTTACAAGTCACATGATGGGTTCCGTGCATCCTCTGCGACATTCCTGAAATGCAAATAACAACATTTTAGTTCAAGCACAGACTATGCACAGCATCGAAAATAACTTGAAATTTTTTCACAAAACTGATACCCTGATACAACATAGGGTGGGATCGAATCCCTCAAGTTTCCGAATGGCGGTAAAATACCGAAGTGACCTCCCGATAGCATTCGACCGGGCGCCTACGAGAACAGGATAGGCAATGCGCCCAACGGCAGTGCAGACTGGTTGCCTATACAGCGTTCCGTAGGCGCCCCGGACCGGGCGCCCAATTAGACGTGGTCGACAACTGGTGTGCTACCCCCGTGTCCCGGGCTCAAAGTAATCGGGCTGTATTCCGCATATACTCCGGGCTAGTGCTGTGTGAATCGAGTATTTTGGTTCGAATTAAATCGAACCGAATCTCTTCAAATTTTCTTCGAATCGAAGCCGAAAAAAAAAAAAACCAAAAAAAAAAAAATAATCCGAATCGAATCGAGTCTTTCCTAATTCGCAAACGAATCGAATCGAATCCAATTTTGCCCCCTCCCCCGCTTTCTTTACGTCTCACGATGAAGAAAAAATGTCCGTCGTGTCTGTGCTTCGTCTTCGGATGAAAAACTTACGTCTCATTGCCAGGGCGCTCTCAAGCGGCTCGTGCACGCTTAACCGGGAAGATTCGGTGGCGAATCGTGATCGATTCGAAATTTCGAACCTTTCGGTGTCGAATCGTTGTGATTCGGCTTCGATTCGATTCGTTTTCGAACATTCGCACAGCACTACTCCGGATGTACTCCTGGTGAACTCCGGGCGTGTACTCTAGGTGTACATCGTCACTTCGTGTGTCTCCCTTAAAATTGTAGTCGTCGGCCCCTCGCACAACGTGCGTCCTGGTAAACCAAGGTACGACCGTCACACCCAAGTGTATGACATTCGTAAACTGAAGTTTCTAACGCGCACCCGTAGAGCACGTTTCCGTCCTGCAACCAGTATTACCATAGAACAGTAGCACAAACACTTGCTGAGTTGTGATTTTCAAATGCAGTGTAGACGAGTTGCTGCGTCCCTAGGCCATGGGAAGCAGCAGGCCGCGTCACACCTCTGGAATGTGTGTGTCAATATAGGAGACATAAAAAACAGGAAACTTTGTCGGTCTTGGAGGCGACTCAATGGCCCGAGGGGGCGCGCGCGGCGCGAGGGGTGTGACAAAGAAGGACCTAAAATGAGTGAAGAATGGGCCGAGAACAAAACGGAGGGAGCGGGCGGGAGGGGGT